ATTTATTATATATATTATATTTAATTAATATTACTATATTATATTAATTAAAATTCTATTAAAAAAAATACCATCACATCCGTGTTTAATTGTAAACAATAAAAAAAAACATGATATTTATATTAAAAAAATCAATTACGGTATAAATTAATATTCGTAAATCGATAAATTGAATAAGTTGTTAAAATTCTGAAAATCAAAGAGGGCCCTTCTGAAAAAAAGAAAACAATATTATTGATTATCAACAAAATATTTTATTATAAATAAATATCCCACGTTTTCTTCCCAGTCGAAGATGAGAGAGTAAGACAGGGTGGAGTAGCGAAGGAATAAAAGTAGGGATTGAAGTAGGGGTAGGTTGGTAGGTAGGTAGGTAGGTAGATAGATAGAAGAGGGGTGGAGAAAGGGGAAGGAAAGGAGAACGAAACGAGGGTGTTGGTTGCAAGTCGATAAACCACGGGAAACGCGAGCACCCTTGCGCACGGTTTCAACATGGCCGACGGTGAGTCCCATTTCCTTTTTCCATTCATTCCTCTCACAATATTCTAACATCACAACAGTCACTGCTGGACGTTAACATTCATAAACAATGATTCTATCGTTCAGATTTTATTTCTTTATTTATCCATATCTTTTTCTTATTTCATTTATTTAATTCTTTTATTTTTATTCACGATAAAACGTATATATACATATACATATATATACATATATTTATATATATATATATATATAATTTGTTTCATTGTCATCAGTATTATTGCAATAGTTTTAAAAATTCGTGCAACGATTATAAATACAACGAATTAAAAATTAAAAAATATATTTATAAAAAAAATATTAAAAAAACAAAAAAAAACAAAAGACAGGAAAAATGATCTCGTAAAATACAAAAAAATAAAACATATATATATGTACAATATAGGCGAGTGTGAAATATAATTTACATAATTTATTAACATTAATTTCATTAAAAATTAATTGTTATTCATTTTTAAAATGTGATTTAAACTAAGTACAAATAAATCATGTGTTTGAAATATATTTCATTTTTGTTGTTTTGTTTATAGGATTATTCAAACAATTCGTTAAAATTTGTCATTTTTTTTGGGTTTTTTTGTTTTTACAGACGAGGATTCGATATGCGACTCAAGGAGACCATCGTCACGCTACCTTTGCATCCTGGAGGACTGAACAATAAGTAAGTTTACACCTTTTGCCATTTCTGTATTTTCTTTTAATTTATTTGTTCTTTTTCTTGTTTTTGTTGTTGTGTTGTTGTTACTGTTCTTTTAAGTATACTCCAGAGAGAAAGATATTTTGTATTTTATTTCAAGAAACAAGAGAATCTACGTTTGACATCAAACTTTTTCACTAAATCGATATTTTACTACTTATCGATTTATATTTTTTTTGTTTATAAATTTTATTCTTTTACACGCGAGATGTGTAGAGATATGTTTCATAATTTATTATTATGAATAAACAATAACAATCTCATTGGATTTAGTGAAGTTAACAAAGTGTGTATAAACGTGTTACGTCGATTTAATCTAAAACAATTTTCTGTTAATTGTGCAACATGAACGTTTTGTTTTGAATGTGTTTTGTACATTTTGTTTGAACGTTTGAATTGTTTTTGTACGTAAAAAGAAAGAAAAAAAAAAAAAAGAAAAACAAAAAAAAATTACGTGAATGTTCTAATTTTGTATAAAGATACTTATATTCTTCAATGTTACTTAAAGTAGCTCTTGAAATTCATTAGCACCTTTTTTGACCATTCTACTTAAAACGAACAAAGGATGATAATAAATATGTGAGCATTAAAAATGGTTGAACAAAAATGTGTGTCTGTGTGTGTGTGTGTGTGTTTGTGTGTGTCTGTAAAATATTTTTTTTTTTATAAACATTTTAATTTCTATCGTTTAAATATCATTTTAATTAATTATATTCTTCTATCTCTTCTATCTTCTATTTTAAATCTGTTAAATTACAAATTTCATATAACCATATGATATTACATTATTTTGTTTAATAAATAAATTTACGGTTAGTTGATATAAACAAGTAATAAGCAAACGTGATCTTCTCTATCTATTTTTATAATATACTGTTAAAGTGTATTCCAGGTTTTTGTTTTATTTTAAATAACATTTCACCTATTACATTATCAGATAATATATCATCATTCTCTTTTCACTCTTGTGACCTATTAAATTGTTTAAAGTGAATACACGATATTTATATATATATATATATATTTTTGTATAAAAGAAAGATAAAAAATATATGAATTATCAAAAATATATTATTATCAAAATATATATATTATATAAATAACAATATATTATATAAAATAATATAAAATATATTATTATCAAAATACATATATATTATATAAATAAAAATATATTATATAAAATAATATAAAATATATTATTATCAAAATATATATATTATATAAATAACAATATATTATATCAAATAATATAAAATATAATATAATAATAAAAATTATAATAAAATATATTATATAATAAAAATATATTATATAAAATAATATAAAATATAATATATATAATAATAAAAGTATAATAATAAAATATATTATATAAAATAATAAAAAATATATAAATAAATATATTATCAAAATTAACATTTTGCATACATATACTTACACACACATTCACCCATGAATATATATATATATATATATATATATATATATATATAAAAAGGTACAAATATATATTTAAATATATTTCACATTAGATCAATTGTAATTTGTAAATAGAAATATATCTACAGATAGATATACGTTCATCTCTATAGATAGTTTCTTCTTCGTGCTCGTAAAAAGAAAAAGAAAAAGAAAAAAGAAAAAAGAGTAAGAAAAAAGCATGCAGATGTAAAGTTACTATATTTATATCTAGGATAGGAGAAGTGTTGTGTTGAACTAATAGAAACGAATCGTATCGATTAACTTGAACTATTTTATTTTAAGCAGTCAGCTTCATAGAAACAACGAGAATCAAGCAACCACAGAGGAAGTTAACAACCAAAACGAAACATCAACCTCAACCGATTTTGGATTGGAAGAAACTGTTGAATTTCACGTTGCCGAGGATACTACCATATGGTCATCTCTTGCTATTGCACGTGATGATATTCAATTAATAACAACGAACAACGGACGAAACAATATTAATAATAATTTAACTACTTCAAGAATACGTCGTAACAGTTCAATCGATAGTCTTGCTGATTACGAAGGTAATTCATTTTTTTTATTATTTAATAAATATTTATAATCATTTGATATCTTTAAATAATTGTTGGTCTCGTTGTCAAAGGTAATAGGAATTTGAAGTAATATTTTCTGAAAAGAAATATACGTTATTAATAAATTAGTTTAAATAATATAGTATTATTAAATATAGTGTAATTATAATAATATAGTATATATTAATTATTATATTACTATATTTTAATTAATTAACAAATTACTATATTAATATAATATAGTATAATTAAATAATATAGTAATATTATTTTTATTTTAAATAATATTATTAATATATATTATACATATTATTTTAATTATAATAATATTAGATTTTAATTTATAATATTATTATAAATAATAATATTATTAGTAATATTATTAGTAATATTAAAATAATATTACTATACATACACAAAATGTTGTATATTATATTATTTAATTTTTAATATTACTACACATTAACAAAACAAAAAAATCCTATAATATAAATTGTTAAATTCGATACTTAAATATCATAATTATTTTTACATCAATTTAATATACATATATATATATATATATATGATCAAGATATGTATCCTTGACATTGTTCAACGTTAGGAAGATATCAAGTTATTTCAAGTTCAATGATTATACACTTTACACCTTTTAGCGATGACTAGTATCATCCTAATCATGAAGTACATTTAACGACATCACGTTTGAAGAATATTATTTAATTTTCTTCAAAGATAGACAGATAGATAGAAAGAGTAAAAGATAAATTCCAAGTACGATATAACAGTATTCCGTTAAAAGTGAATTCACGTCAACTCAGATCTCTTGGAAGGGATAAATTGCGCAACGGGAGGAGCAATTTAAAGAGAGTCAAGTAGAGAAAGAGAAAGAGAGAGAGAGAGTGAGTGATAGTAAAGTAGATTGGTTAGCTGAGAAGATTCGCAGTTAGAATTTATAGAAAGAGCCAACCATAACCGACCAGGCCCCAGAAGCAGCAACAGCTGGTCGGCCTGTTCACGAATTACAAAAGTACCAACCACGATGAACAAGATGATGAGTCAGTCATTCAATCAATCGAAGAAGAAGAAGAAGAAGAAGAAGAAGATGAAGAAGAACCGTTTAGAAATGTTTAGAATTATTTCTTGTTATTCTTTTTTCAATATTTAAAAAAAAATAAAAAACAAGTATAAAACTTTTATTTACAGGACGTAATTCATCTTCACGTGAGGATTCATCGTCCCACGAGTTAACACCTTCCGAGTGGTCGGATCTTTCTGAGGAAGGAAACCTACCGTCATCCGGTTGTTGCGGTATAGTTAATACAAATTATCCAGGATTTCAACATCTAGCACCTTCTTTATTATCGGACACTGATCTTACCGAAGACGAACACGACAGTTGTCCTGATTATATTCGTTTGAACGATATCGACGCTAGATCAAGCGAAAACGGTAACGAATATAACAATAATATCGACGAGAGTATTAATCATCTTTGTGGACAAAGAAACGATCATAAAACTTTCTACGAAAAACCTAAATTTAATATACAGGTAAATATTTGTCATCTAACTTTTTGATCATTCACCTATTCTGTTATATGTTTAATTAAATATTACTTTATTATTATTTTTTTTAAATTCAATATGTTAATTTTTTGTTTTTTTTTGATAATACTTTGTATCATAATTGAATATTAGTTTAAATATATTTTTAACAACAAATTTGTTTAAGTATGAGTATACTTTTATAAATAAATTTATTTATCATTCGTTTGATAGGTCTCTCTCTCTCTCTCTCATGATATTTATCTGACGCACGTGGTTTTACAGACGGTTACTTCTCTGTACGAGTCAGTGGTGCCACCCTCAGAAAAGTGTATAAACTACGTTAAAAGCGTTGAGGTTTCGAGATCGGAAGAGAAGACTCTTTCACCGGAGCCAGAGATCATCGAGACTGACAATTTCTTGACATTAGAATCTGAAGATACGTTCAATCATCATCATCATCATCATCATCATCTCCACCATCATCATCATATCACAGAAGAAATACTTCAAACTGAACACGAGGGACAAGAATTGAACGTTGAACTGGAAGTATTAAAATTGTCCATTGGTAAAAAGGAGACGTTGCAATTTCCAGAGATCGAGGAGATCTTAGATTCGGGAAAAACCAGCGAAATAGGCGAGGTAAATAATCAAATAATTAAATGAAATGAAATAAACAACAAATAATAATACTTACATACGGTGCGTATAATTATGAAGAAAGAGGGGGAATTATTTTTCAATAACAATTGTAATTTAAAAAAAAGAAAGAAAAAGAATTACACCCTGTCATAATTATCCGCGCAAAGTAAAAAAAAAAGTAATCTCTTAAAATATATACATATACATGAACTCGGTTAAAAAAAGAAAGCAGCAATTGTGTGTCAAGTGCAACGATAGAATTTAATTTATTATTGCATTAGGAAGAAATACAAAAAGAATAAGAACGTTTGAAGTGAATAAATGAGATATGTCGTTAAAAGCAAAGTAAAGCAAAGCAAAGCGATGTAAAACATGTGCGATTTGTCTGTTATCGGTATCGGCATGTGATAAAAGCAAAAGAATATATAAAACGTTTAATGGGAAACCCTTGAACGCATGCCGGTAAAAATGTATTTCAAATTGATCCCCGAAGCAATAGAAAAAGTATAACGATTTTAAACGTAACATAAAACGATGTTAAATAATAGTCTTACGATGTCAATCGTATTTTCATTTATTATAATCTTGAATTCATTTGCAGACGGAGGATAGCGTGGTGGAGCAGCAGCAGCACATCGACCTCATACGCGAGGCAAAGGAATTGCCTCGCAACGAACGCACCAAAATAGGCAACCAAGCAACAACGACTACGACAACACCATCACCAACACCAACACCACCATTACCAATACCAACAGTAACAGAAACAACATTATTATCAAACGTTTCACCAGTTGACTCGGAAACAACCAATACCGATACCGATAATTACACGGAAGAACAATCAACATACACGAAACTTGAAGAAATCGATCTTCTATCGAGTATCGGCCGAGATATCGGTGTCGATCTCGAAAAATACGTACAATCGGTACCGGACGTAATAGCCATGGAGGCCGTTGACACCGTGCGTTGTTCATCGCGTGGTTCATCCCGCGGTTCATCGCGTTCCGCATCCGGGAATCGCAACATGCGCAAGGATCCACATTCAGAAGACACCAATAAGTTACTTGATCGTGATCTTTCCGATACGTCCAGTGCCGATTCTAGAAAGAAAGAAAAAACGGTAAGGAATCAAACGAAAAGAAGACAACAACAGCAACAACAGCAACCAGTTCGTTCATCAAATTCAAGAAGGCCCGATAAGAGAAGAGCCGATACCGAGAACGGCCCAGGTATCATTTTATTATTTTTATACTTTCATTCTAATTATTTATATTATTATTAGTAATGTTGATTGATGTGAGTAATCGTTTAGGAGTTACCCGTATTATTTTCCTTCTTTTTTTTTTATTTTTTATGATTTATACCTAGATTAGCGTAATCTAAAAAGACAGACGATTAAAATACGTCGAGGAAGAAGTTCGTATCCAGTTAGAAATTAATAACACACGCGACTACAAGTTTTATAACGTTTAAACAGTGTGTGTTTGTGTGTGTATCGCGTCCATTTATTATTACATTAGATATATTTAATTTTAAGACTTGTTATAACCGGTAATTTTGTTATTTCTTTCATTTACTTGTTTTTTTAAACAAACATTTCGTATTTTTGTACACGTTTTAACGTTATATTGGTTGGATATGATTATCCTTATCGTTTTCGTATTAAAAAGAATAATATCGTTAAAATAATCACTCAAATGGTCGGTTTTAAAAAAACAACTTGAAAGTAATTAAACTGGAGAGGGGAAAAAAAAGAAGTAAAAAAAAAAAAAAAACAAAAAAAAAGAAAATGAAAGAAATTAAAAACGAATGATCGAATCACCTTATTACAAATACACCAATAGTAATCGGTATTATGACCCGTTATATTTAGTTCGACTGTGCCACGTTTTGCATTGCAATAGTATTTCTACGAAGTCTCAACTGTAATCTTCCTCTTCTTCTTCTTTTTATTTTATTTTTTCTTCTTCTTTTTTCTTCAAGGTGGATTTGACGTGTTCAATATTGAGACGGCAATGCCAAAAATTGACCTGGATGCTATCGAATCACATTTAAGAGCAGCTGAAGAAGAACGACGGGTAAGTTTTTGAATAATTCTTTTGGTTTTCTTTTTTTTTCTTTTCTTTTTTCTTTTTTAACCATAAATATCAAACACACACTCATACACATTCGCAGCAGATAAACTATACGTAAATATATATATTTATTGTTAAATTATATAATTGTATAATTAATATATAATATTGTATTATAATATTATTGTGTATTATATATATATATATAATATAATATAATTGTATTATATAATATATAATTATATAATAATATATAATATTATTATATATAAATATATAAATAATATTTATTAAATAAAATTATATATAAATAATAATATTATATATTACTTATATATATTAAAAGTAATTATATATTATTATGTACATATATATTATTATATATTATTATATGAATTATAATATTATTGTATTATATATATAATATAATATAATTGTATTATTATGTATATAATTATATAAAATTATATATATATTAATAATAATATTATATATTATTAAATAAATTATATATTAATAATAATATTATATATTACTTATATATTAAAAGTAATTATATATATTATTATATAATTACAATCAAAACAAACTCATTTCGAATTACGTATCACGAATAATTGTGCAGCGCGAATTAAGCAAAAGATTAAATGAAACAATTAATAATTATTAATTATGAAAAAATTATTATAGGTTTAAGAATGATTTTAAATGAAAGTATCAGCGTTGATTGTCAAAAAGAAAGAAAGAAACATTTCATTCTTATAAATGGAGATGAGACGACATAAGATCAGTTTCCCTATCTTACTTCCTGTGTTACTTAAGAAAAATTCATCACATTCACGTTAGTACTCCTATTATTCTTTCATGAGTATACACCTGAGATATTTTAGTCTTAAAAAGGGTCAAGGATCGTATTACAGTCACGCTGTCATTCTTACCGGATATGCATCCTCGTATTTTTAGATAAATATTGGATTTAAACAATGAATTCTTGTATGTACAATATGTGTGTGTGTGTTTTGTGTGTGTTGAACATTTTTGTTCACCATTTATACTTAAATAAATAATTATAGTATTTTATATTTATTACTATCATTATTATTATTATTATTATTATTATTATTATTTTTATTATTATTATTATTATGTTATAGATTATTTAACAAATTAAATCTTAAATAACTACAAAAAATAAAAAGAAAGAAAATAATATTAATATATATATTAATTAAAATAATATATAATATTATAATATATATATGTATATATTTATATTATATTATATATTAATAATTTATATTATATATATATATATATATATTAATAATTATAATAATTAATATTATTTATATTTTATAATTAATATTTTATAAATATTAATTATTAAAA